GGCAAATTAAAACTACAATGAGATGCCACCCCACCCCAGTGAGAATGGCACATCTTCAAACAACTAGCAACAACAAATGTTGGCAAGGATGTAGAAAAAAGGAACTCTCTTGCACTGCTGGTGGGAATGCAAACTTAGTGTAACCACTATGGAAAACTGTTTGGAGGTTCCTCAAAATGCTAAACATGGAGCTTCCCTACGTACGACCCAGCAATCCCACTCCTAGGTTATCTACCTAAGACACAAAAACACTGATTTAAAAAAGACACCTGCACCCCCATATTTATTGCTGCTTTATTCACAATTGGAAAGACATGGAAGTAGCCCAAATGCCCAAAAATGGATGACTGGATTAAAAAGATATGGTATATACTGACAATGGAATATTACTCAGGAACCAAAAAAACAAAACACATGTCTTTTGCAGCAACATGGATGGAACTGGAAAAGATCATGCTAGTGAAATACAACAGAAAGAAAAGGAAAAATACCGGATGGTTTCTCTTACAGGCTGATAATGAACAGAACAGAAAATAATGATAATGATGAACAGCTATATACCAGAGACATTTTGCGGGAGTGGAATGGGGAATGGGATCAAAAACAGCAGGGGGAGGGAAATGCACTGGACTATGGGGATGGCACATGGTTGATTTGGTGATGGGAAGCCCAAGTGGATTGCAAATGAGATGGAAAAATGCACAAAAAGATGTAAAAATAAACTATTATATATATTAAAAAAAATACCATGAAGAAACTGAAGACAAGCCACAAACTTGGAGAAAATATTCACAATGTATAGGACAAAGAATTTGAATTCAGAGTAAATCACTGGAAATCAATTATAAAAAAATCAATTAAAAACCGGGCAAGATTCAAAAGTGCTAAAGTTAAAAGGCCTTAACAAGTGCTGGAAAGAAAAGGAATAAACAACTTTCATGTATTGCTTATGGGAATATAAAATATCATAACCATTTTTTGAAAATTGTTTGGCAGTTTCCAAAGCATACTTCTAATTTATGATCCAGAAATTCTATTTCTAAGCATTTATCCAAGAAATAATTTGTACACACACACAAAAACAAATGCTTTCAAGCAGTTTACATATAAAGGGAATCTTACCCAACTGTCCATCACAATTGAATGAACACATGTGTTATGATTTATTTATACAGAAGTACTAAAAAAAAGGGGTAATCAAAATAGGCAGATGAATATTAGAAATAGTATAGTGACCGAAAAGTCAAACAAAAAAGCACACCATTTATATTAAATTCCAGAACAGGCAAAAGGGATCTATGGTGATAGATTAGTGATTGCTACTGGCGGAGTAATTTAGTAAAAGTGTTGAGGCAACTTTCTAAAGTGATGAAAACATTAGTCTTGATAACCCCTCATGAAAACTAAATGGAACACTGGGCATTTAAAGGTATGTAACTTATATAAGAACATTAAAACACTTGGGGTTTTTCTGAAATTAAGCTATCTCCCCCCTAAAGATACCATAATTTAGAATCATTTCCTGCTAGATTAACCTCTTAACAATAAACCAAATCTTGGACATGCTTGTAGTGGGAGGAGGGCAGAAATTTAGTAATCCTCCAAAAAAGTAAACCTGAGACTATAAATCTGTTAAATGAAGAGCCATAAAAGGGGCTTCTGATCTGGGTGTCAATAAATGGAGATGTTTTTACAAGCCAAACTGGAAGAGAGGGTGAACCAGCAAAGTAAACAGTATGAGCAAAGTCAGAAGGATGCACATTAGTAACAAAAGTCACTGGTCATATCTGAATTTCGTTCTCAAGACCTAGAGAGATTAAGTGATAAAACTTGTTTCTTCATCTCCCAATGAAGAAACTGCACTGTTGACCCAGATATTCAGGAAAACAGCTCATTCTTTAAAAAATTTTGTCCCAGGCGTGAAAGCAACAATCACTTGGCACCACCTTCAAATTATATTCCAAATCAAGCAGCTTCTCACAACTTACAACTTCTTACTTTTTTGCAATTCTACACCTTTAGTTCAAGCTCAGATATCTCAACTGTACTACTGAGCTTCCTTAAAAGCTGGTTTTCCACTTTCCTACATCTTGGTCTTTTCACCACCCAACAACCAGTCATCTAAAGGATAAATCAAGTTATTTTTTTAATGAAATTCTCTAATGGCTTCTCATAGAAAGAAAAGATCCATAAAACTCCATCTTAGTCTAACCACTCTGACTCATCACCCACTACCCTTCACTAAGCTCTAACTATAAGAGCTTTCTCAGTATTTAACAGGTCAAGTTCATCACCTCTTTTAAGGTCTCTGCATTTGTACTTACTGCCATGCTAGAAGCTCTTGCCTCATATCTTCTGCATTATTCAACTTATCCAGTAAAAACAACCCTAGAGGTAGACTGCCTTTCAAACTATCAAAGCCAGATAGTTCACATTCTAATCACTCTAATTCAGTGACTCTAATCTTGCTATATTTTTTTGACATTTATCACTACCTTAAGCTATATTTGATTACTTATTACATATTCTTATCTCTTTCTCCAAGTTCCATGAGGGCAGGCTTAGTATATAGTGCTATAGCAAATGTTCAACAAAATTTGAATGTATGATACTATTGTTTTCTCAAACTCCACGGCTTGAAATTTCAGGCATCATTGGATAGGCTTCCGATTCACTTAATAATGAAACAGTAAACATTTATAACAGGTTAACTAAGATAGATTAACACATTATCAGGGGAAACGTAAAACATTTTCTGTATTTCCTATTATTGAAAAATCATTCCCCAAGTCTCAAGCGAAATTCTTATTTAACGAACTAAATAATTACTACTTGGTCTATAAAGCTGATTATAACTTCTGACTAATTTTACCTCCTAATATACAGAATTGCATGTGGTGATGAAACACATTTTCCCTTTGCAACAAATTGTACATTTTTGATTGGTATTGTTATTAGATCTCATACTTAAAAAAAGGGCTAACCATTTAAAATTTAATTAAAAACGAGTCATCACTGACAATAGTCACTTAATAAATGTCCACGATGTGTAGAACCATAGGTGTTTCTCGGCCATTTTATTTCCAGAGTGAATCCGACTGTGATGTTTCAACATAATGGGCAATTTTAAGTGACCATTAAGCAGAAAGTGAAACTACTATATGGGGACCAAGAAGCAAATCTGGCAGGTTGAAAATGAGATTTTAAAACCCTATATAAAGATCTTCGTTTTCTATGCTGATGGCAAGGCACAGCAGAAATGATCACATGAAGGACATGAGTTCGACAGCCATATATGCCTAAACAGATTTTAGTTCCATAGAAAACTCAGTGGCCACAGTAATTGACGCTAGACACCTCCTTTCAGACCACTGCGAGGTAGATGCATGAAAGCCCCAAAGGGGTTCGGCAGACATCACCCAACAAGTTACCCAGGAGGTAGGTAAAGTTCTTCAGGCTCCGCAGTTGAAAAGAGCGTAGGCGAGGACCCTCTTAAGTGACTAGGGAGACTCCGAGAAAAGAACTCTAAATGCATTCGGGGAAATAAAAGAAAAGCGATAGAGCTGCCACGGCCCTAACTCTACTCTCCCCACACTCAGTAGGGAAATCCCAGGGTCGCCAGCCGCCACCCCCCTCTCCCACCCACTTCCTAGCCCACCCAGCAGCGCCCGGGGAGGTCCCGACGCCCTCTGCTCCCCTCCCCCAAACCAGGAGCAGAGGAGGCCCCGGGAGCTTGAAAGCTTCCGTTCCTTCCCCGCCCAAAAGCGAAGGGGTGGGGAGTCGGATTGCAAGCGCTCCCAGTCCGATGCTCCGTCGTCTACGGGGACTTGAAGTCCGTTCCCATCCCAGTCCGAGACTCACTAGTCAGCTTCACAGCCACCGCAGTCACAGCACCCGGTCCCCGCGCACCGGCACAGCCCCTTCTCCAGGGCCGCCCCCCCACCCCCAGCAGCCTGCCGCGGAGGGTTCCGGGGCAGTTGGAAAATCACTTCCGCCGGGTCACAGACAATTTCTGCGACGCGCGGGAGATCAGTACTTGGCTGAGGCGGGGAGGCGTAGTCGCTTTATTTGACCCGGAGGAAGTGCGTAACAACCCCCTCCCTTTTTTCACCCTACAACAAGACTGGCTAGGCGGGTCAGTCACAAATCTCAACCAATCCGATTTTGGGTTTTAGGATCCCAGCATGCAAAATAGACGCTAATCAGATTTCCGCTGGGACAGCAGTCTCCAAAAAGCGCCGGGGAAGAGGGCAGTGCATCTTGGGATTTGTAGTTTCTCCCGCTGGCACAGTCGGTGTGACTGTGACGGGACCGCATCTTGGGACTTGTAGTTTCTCACGTTTGGGAGTGGGGTTGGAGGAAGGGAGATGTTAAGATTTGGTCATTTTAGGGAGCGCCCGTGCCTGTCATTTGGGGGTAATCCTGGATGTTGTAAGATTTTCTGCTGAGGAAAGGGCGAAGAGTAGGAGGGCAGTTTTTATGTTAACAAGGTCGTGCTTTTTATGAAATAGCATCTGTCCTTTTGGAGGGCAGTTTTTATGTTAACAAGATCGTTCTTTTTATGAAATAGCATCTGTCCTTTTGTGAAAAGTTTGTATCCGGTTGCAAAGCGTCCCAACGGCTCGAGCTATTGGCTGGTCTCATTTCCTCTCTTCCGGTTATATTCAATGTTAACAGAAAGTTGACCACGCCCCCACTCTGGAGCCTTCCCCCACCTTCCAAAGCCCAGTTGCCCGGCTCGGCTGTGTTCTGAGTTCATTCACAGAAATTCCCGGCGTCCGCCGCCTTTGCTGGTCTCTGAGAACATCTTTATTACTCTCTACCTCCTCTGCCCCTACACCCCTACTTCCTCCTCTTTCTCTTGATCCGTCTGTCCTTTCTACTTGCTTTAAAGGTGAAGTTCATGCATCCTTATTGGAAGATTGAAACAGCCAAATAAAATTCACTGTTTTCAGAACTTCGTACAAAGGAAATGTAGGACCAATACATTTAACATTGCAAATTGCTCAACTAAACATTGTGTAAAACGTCCACAAAAAAGTAAAACACTGAAGTTGTCAAGGTTTGTTGAACAAGTTAATGACTTATTTGAAAGGAGTTTTGTTTTCTTGACAGATAAAAGGGTACTGCTTCTTGAGAAATAATCTCAAGAATGAAAACCTAGGGGGTAAGAAGAGGGTGTGGTCACATTTCAATTCTTAATTTACGGGCCTCTCCTTTTGTCTTATGGCATTAGCACCGTGTAAAGGCTCACTATGTTATAGTTGCTTTGAAAATGATAGAATTTCTAGGTGATGATACCCCGGCTGCATATATAGTATACTAATTGAAGTTTGTTTTCTTCTTTGCACTTATATAATACAAAGGCGTGCACATGGTTCTATGTATTAATTATTTCCCAACTTTAGTAACCTAAATAACCATACCTTTATATCTAAGTGCTCAACTAGCATCCTTTTTTTTTTTTTTTAAGATTTATTTATTTATACATACAGAACTGGGGTACATGCCAGAGAGGATTCACCAGAGAACAGGCAGATCGATGCTTTAACCCGCTGTGCACCAGGGAGGGTCCAAGCATCCTTTTTTTTTTCTTTTTTTAAAGATTTATTTATTTGTGCATACAGAACTGGGGTACAGGCCAGAGGCTCAGGGGCGGTGAGAGGCTTCACCAGAGACAGAGTGGGGAGCAGAACAGGCAGATCTACGAAGTACACTGCTGACGGGAGCAGCAGGTGGGTCAGGAGAGGTCTGCCACGCCATGTGGTCTCCTCCGGGGCAGGCGGGAATCGAACTCATGGTGAAGTGGCTTTAGCTTCTCAGTGCTGTGCTTTAACCGGCTGTGCCACCAGGGAGGGCCCCAAGCATCCTTTTTAATGGCTGTATAGAACTAAATTCTCCTAAGTGGCTCACAGATTCACTTGTATTCCTTTATGTTGGACATTTACGTTATTTCCATTTTAGAATCATTTTAGTAATGCTGCGTTAGTATCTCATAGAAGTCTTTGACCATGTTTCTGATTTTTTTATATGAATGTTTTATTAAAAAAAGATTTTAATATTCTGTTGACAAATTATTTTCTGGAAAGGTTCTTCTAGCACTTGCTTTAATCCAGCAATTATTGAAGGTTTTACTAATAGACTATCTTTACCATTCTTTTTCTTTTAAATTTGCAGCATGCCATTTGGTCTTTTCGTTCACCTTAAAGGAAGGAAAGGGGCTGGTGTATGAAAAGGAAAGACAGCTAAGTAAAATAAGTTATAATGCATGTCTTCTACAAGACATGACCGTTTTCAACTTTGCTACCAGCCCATCTTTAATTATTTTTCTTTATTGAAATAACATTGGTTAACAATGCTTTATAGAACTTCGGGGAATAGGTTCAGCTCCTGTCTTTAAATGGAACTTCTCAGATAATATAAGTATTGTATTTGGTGACAAGACATTTTAAAAAAATAATATAGTAGTTTATTTTTACATCATTTTGTGCATTTTTCCACCTCAGTTGTAATCCCCTTGGGCTTCCCATCACCAAATCACCCATGTGCCATCACCATTGTCCAGTGCATTGCTCTCCCTCCACTGTTTTTGATCCCATTCCCCACTTCACCCCCATAAAATTTCTCTGGTAAATAGTTGTTCATTATTATTATTATTTTCTCCCCTGGTCCGTTATACTTCTGCTATGAGTGAAACCATTTTTCCTTTTCTTTCTGGCTTATTTCACGAAGCATGATCTTTTCCAGCTCCGTCCATGTTGCTACAAAAGGCATGTGTTTATTTTTTTTGTTGTTGTTGCTGAGTAGTATTCCATTGTGTATATGTACCACACCTTTTTAATCTAGTCATCTGCTTTTGGGCATTTGGGCTACTTCCTTGTCTTTCCAATTGTAAATAAAGCAGCAATAAACATGGGGGTGCAGGTGTCTTTTTGAATCAGTGTTTTTGTGTCTTTTGGGTAGATACCTAGGAGTGGGATTGCTGGGTCATATGGAAGCTCTATGTTTAGCAGTCTGAGGAACCTCCAAACAGTTTTCCATAGTGGTTGTACTAGTTTGCATTCCCACCAGCAGTACAGGAGAGTTCCTTTTTCACCACATCCTCACCAGCATTTGTTGTTGCTAGTAATGTTTTAAGATGTGCCATTCTCACTGGGGTGAGGTGGTATCTCATTGTGGTTTCAATTTGCATCTCCCTTATTACAAGTGATGTTGAATATTTTTTCATATGCTTATTGGTCAGCTGCATTTCCTCTTTGGAGAAGTGTCTTTTTAGCTCTTCTGTCCATTTTTTGATGGGGTTGTTTATTTTTGTTGAGTTTCATCAGCTCTGTATATATCTTTGTGATCAATCCTTTATCACTAGTTTTGTATCAGAAAATTTTTTTGCCAGTCAGTGGGATATCTATCTGTTTGTCTTTTGTAATATCTCTTTTGCTGTACAGAAGCTCTTTAATTTGATGTAGTCCCATGTATTTATCCTTGGCTTCACTATCGTTGCATTGGGGGCTGTATCTTTAAAGATGTCATTGAAGTGTATGTCGTCTAATGTTTGACCCATCTTTGCTTCCAGGTATTTAATGGTTTCTGTTCTTATGTCTAGGTCTTTTATCCACTTCAGGTTCTCTTAGCATATTGTTGAGGTCATTTGATATGACTGCTCTAATGCTTTGTAGTCTTTCCCAATAATGCAACTGCTTAAACTATAATCTGTTAAATAATTTCCTTGTTTTTTTTTTTTCCACATCTCTAACAAAACCTTGCTTTTAACTTCTGTCAGTGGAGTGACACTATCCACTTCTAGTTTAACATTATCCATTTTACTCAAATAAACTACAGCATTTTAATTTGCCTCTGTGGACATTTAAATGAGGTTGGGAGACTAGAAAGGACACTGTTAGTAAACTGCAGGATCTAACATGCTTGACTTCACCCATGGGAAATTGTTATTTTCCTTTCTAGTGCAACTGAGAGGGTATCCTTCTAAGGCTATCTAGGGAATTACTAACCTTGGATATAAGGAAGATATATGGTTTGGCTCTCAATGTGCTAACTTTCACTTACTGTTTAAATGAACTGTGTATAATTACAATATAATTCATGGGGAGGAGGAATCCAAATTACACTAATATAACATAAAATGCAGTTGGTAGTAAACAGTTCCACAGATTGGGGGTCTTCCTTACTATTTCAGCTCCAAGAGGGGAAAGCCTACTTCAAACAGAGCCTCCTATGGCAATTGCTAAAATCTGGAGAAGACTTAGAAGCTACAACTTGAAGTCCAAATCCTCTCAGATTGGCTTTATTCTGCTTCCATGTTAGATGTCTATTATCTGAAATATTTGTTAATTTTTTGGAGTTTGGCCTCTCACCCAACTAAGCTTTTACCTTTTCTTGCCTAATTGTATACTCTTAGAAAGTTATTGCTTTCTTTTTAATTTACTAAGTCACACCATTTAAATTCTCTAATTATTCTGATGGATCTTTAAAAATTTCCTATGCAAGTCAGAAACAATTCTGAAGAAGTAATTCACTAATTATTAATTAGTCAAAAACAATTCTGAAGAAGTAATTCACTAATTATTAATTACTTCACTAATTGAATGCTCATCTTCCAAGACTCTGCTAAATCTGAATTCAAGCCTTTTAGATATTCTGAGGCCAAATTAACCAAACTATCTTTCAGACTTCTATATCATTTTGTAAATTAATAAATCTCAATTTTATTACAGCTATCCTTTTGCTTGCTTTTAGGTGTTTCCTATTAACTGAGCACTGTGGAGTAGCAATTTTATCCAGTATCTGTTGTATTTCTTGCTAACTTCATCTTGGCACTGAACACCTCTTTAACATGTCATGAATGAATGTGTGTATGGATGTGAATAATTGCTGAAGACAAATTTGTTAAGCATCAATATATGAACGAGTTCCATTTAATTTCTACCAACTGAGTGGTTAAACTAAATTAACATTCATTTTTGTTCAAATTGTATAAAGCATTATCCATTCTGTTCCAAGACAAATCATTTTCTGCAAAGGAACATACTTGAGGGTGGGGGGCTAGAAAATGACACTCAGGAGAATGAAAGATCTAATCCGGGTTTCCAGGTTTGTTCCCGGTATAGCTCTCCCCTCTCCCCTTCCAAATCATCATAAAGAAGCCAACTCAGGGATGGGAAAGACAGGGTGTAGGGTAAGTGATTTAAACAGGCTTTCTTTGCGCACTAGCCTCTGTGGGGATCACCTGTGGCCTTGGTCTTGTCAATGTAGAAGGCGTGTACTTCTCCAAAGAGGAAATGCAGATGGCCAACAAACATGAAAAAATGTTCAACATCACTTGTAATAAGGGAGATGCAAATTAAAACCACAATGATATACCACCTCACCCCTGTGACCCTGTGAGAATGGCACATCTTAAAACAACTAGCAACAACAAATGCTGGTGAGGATGTGGAGAAAAAGAAACTCTCCTGCACTGCTGGTGGGAATGCAAACTAGTACAACCACTATGGAAAATTGTTGGAGATTCCTCAAACTACTTAACATGGAGCTTCCCTACGACCCAGCAATCCCACTCCTAGGTACCTACCCAAAAGACACAAAAACACTGATTCAAAAAGACACCTGCACCCCCATATTTATTGCTGCTTTATTTACAATTGGAAAGACATGGAAGTAGCCCAAATGCCCAAAAGCAGATGACTGGATTAAAAAGGTGTAGTACATATACACAATGGAATATTACTCAGCAAAAAAAAAAAAAAAAAGAAAAGAAACACATGTCTTTTGCAGCAACTTGGATGGAGCTGGAAAGATCATGCTTCGTGAGATAAGCCAGAAAGAAAAAGAAAAATTCCGGATGGTTTCGCTCATAGCAGGAGTATAATGGATCAGGTGAGAAAATAATAATGAAAAGTCATATACCAGAGACATTTTGTGGGGGTGGAGTGGGGAATGGGATGGGGGGGGAGGGGAGTGCACAGGACTATGGTGATGGCACACGGGTGACTTGGTGGTGGGAAACCGAAGGGGATTACAATTGAGATAAAAAAAATGTACAAAATGATGTAAAAATAAACTATTATATTTAATAATAATAATAAAAAAGACATGAGTCCTTAAAAAAAAATGTAGGTGTGTGGGTGTGAGGCACAGGTAAGTGCCTGGTTGTAGACACCTGCACAAGGGGTGTGCGCATGTGTACGTGGGCATATCTGTGTCGAGGAGGGAGGAAGGATTTAAGTCACCCTGAGGAAGGCGGTTCAAGTTGCAGCCTCCCAGCTGATTTGTTTCCCCTGCTTACCATTAGAACCTGTGAAAAGGAGGGCTCCCAAATTCTTCAAATCGCTAGATGCCAAACACAGGTATCGGCTGGATGTTTGCAGATCACCCCAGTCCCCAAGGAGGGCAGGTGTGGGGGTTTCAGAGCTCTCGGTACAGGCTCAGGCACAGGCACGGTGTGGAAGGAGGGGGCTGGGGACGCAAAGTGCGCGCTGTCGCAGGCGGCCAATCGGCTGGACGGCGCTCCGGGCCTCTAGGGGGCGGAGTGCGCGCAGCTAGTCCTGGCCGCGGCGGGGTGAGGAACCAGGCTCTGGGTTCCCGACTGCCGCCGTGGTGCGGTCCGTCTCCACCTCTGCGGCGCAGCATGATGCTTCTGGCGCTCGGCGGAAAGAGGACTGTGCTGTGGGCGGCCGCCGCGCTCCGGGGCCCGCGGGCGGCCTCCTCGCGGGCGGCCTCCTGCCGGGGCTCCCCGGGGCTGGTGGGCGGCGGAAGCTCCCGGGTGTGGAGAGTCGCGCCGCCTCTCTCGCCTCGCGTGCGATCGCAGGTCGGCTGTCCTGAGGCTGTAGGGCCGGAGGGAGGGTGGATGGTGGGCTTGCGTGGGGTCCAGGGATCCCCAGCGGCTCTTCGATCGTCCTCCCCCGTCTGCCTAGTGCTCTGGGCGGAAGCAGCTCTGTGCTTGGCTCCGAGGACGGCGGGACTCGCGGGGTCAGAGGCGGAGCAGGCCTCGGCTCGGGACCTGCCCGGGGGCCCGGGGCTCTCAGCTCCGCGGTCGGGGCGCATTGAAAGTGGTTATTTTCTGTTCGGTTTCAAGCACTTTCCAGGCGGTTGGAAGACCTGCGGGTTTATGATGACTGTTTATTTGCTCTCTCCTGAGCTGCATTTGGAAAGGTTAACTTGCAAAGAAGGTAGTTGCAGCTCCTTAAGACCGAATGAAAGAGAGAACCCAGATAGCTTGACGACTGACTGGGTTGGTTATATTTTTTAATCAGATGGCTCTGTTTTTAGGAATTCCGTTGCTCCCTGGAAGAAGGCAACGGTCAGTCTCTCGTTTCAGCCAAAATAAGTGGCTTTCTAAGCCTGCCTTATAAAATACCCGTATTAGCAAACCTCCCTGAAACCTGAAGAAACTTGGAATTTAAGTTCCAGGATAAAGGAATTAGGCATGCCTTTTACATTTTGGAGTGTATGCACTGTGATTCATTTTCAGACTTTGGGGAAACTTATGGTGTTTGATGTAGGCCTTCAAGGAAAAATTTTTCTAAGGAGAATAAGGGGTGTAAAGGGTTGGACGGAAGTTGTTTTTTTTTTTAAAAAAAATTCTATAGTATAAATATTTTACTATTAAAAATAGTCTGGACCTTAAGCAATCTGACTTTGCTTACATTATTGTATTAATCTTGGTTATTTTTTTAAAAGCCAGTGCATCTAAATCTTTATGACAGTCAAATTAGAGTGGTGTTCTGAAAGTGGAATAAAAGAACCTATCCCACTGAATGATTTTTTTTTTACACTGAATGATATTTACCTGTTCAAGGTCACAGTTTATGTAATAAAAAAAAAAAGCTTTACAGTTGGAATGTAAACTTGGATCTTCAAATTCGAACTCCATACTTGTTGGCTTGTTTGTTAGTCAGTTGGATTTCTTTAACTCTAGATTATTTTGGGAGAATTCAGAAGTTACCTCATGTGACCAGTTCTCTTTTACTTTTCACATATTTTAAAACAAACAAAACTTAAAAATTGGTCTAAAAATGCAGTTTTTTAATGAACTCACGTTATTGTACCCTGTTCTGACAGATTCCTGTGTCTTGGGAAAGATGTATTCAATGCTTACATACACAACTTGAGAAATCAGAAGATGGAAGGCTAATTTACACTGGGAATCTGGCCCGAACAGTACGTGGTGGGTAATCAGAAATGAGGGTATTTAATTATTGTTCTTTTAATTGTGGAACATGTTCTTAGCATATATGATGTTATTTTAATACCTCTTAATTCAAGACCCACTGAAAATTAGATTATAATTTTAAATTTATTTTTCTTTTTCTCCTATATTGAGGCAGCATTGGTTCACAGCACTGGATATGATTTAGACAAATAGGTTCACACCTCAGATGTATGATCCCACCCCATCCCCATCCCTATCTCCAAGCATCCAAGACCATAGATCCTTGTGTTACCATCCCTACTTTACCTCCTTCTCTAGTAGCCTCAATTCTGCAGTCTCATTTCTAGGGCTCCCCCTTTACCCCCAACCCTGTTTAGTTTTATCAATTCCTTTGTGGGTTTTTTTTTTTCTTCTGTTCTATTCCACATAACAGTGAAATCATCCAGTATTTTCTCCTGACTTTTTTTTTGCTTTAAGTAATTCCTGCCGGTTCAATCCATGTTGTACATGGTAAGATCTCACATCTTTTTACAGTTGAGAAGTATTCCATTGTGTATATGTTACTACATCTTCTCTATCCAATCATTTGTCTTTGGACACTTAAGTTGTTTCCATAACTTGGCTATTATAAATAGTGCTGCACTGAAAAAAGAGATGCATATATTCCTTTGAATTAGTATTTTTGTTATGTATATACATACTCAGAGAGGGATTGCTGCATCATATGGTACATTGATTTTTTTTTTAAAAGGTTTATTTATGCATACAGAACTGGGGTACAGGCCAGAGGTGTGTGGGAGGTGAGAGGATTCACCAGAGACAGTTGGGAGCAGAACAGGCAGATAACTGAAGTACACTGCTGAGGGGAGCAGTGGGAGGTTCAGGAGAGATCTGCCATGCTGTTTGGGTAACCTCTCTGGCTGAGGATCGAACCCCTGCTTTATTTTTAGTAGCTGCTATAGCTTCGTAGTGCTGTGATCCAATCTGTGCCACCAGGGAGGGCCCGGTACATCTATTTTTAATGTTTTTAAAATGTCCATATAAACCAATGTAAACCTCCATGTAAACCAAATAGTTCACATTCCCATCAAAAGTGTTTCTTTTTCTCTATACCCTGCATAGCCCTTGTTATTTCTGGTCCCCCTCCCTCCCGGTATTTTTTTGTCCTCCACCACGACACCTTTATCTATACCTCATCTGCCTCCATACCCCATTCCCTTTGTGCTTTCTCCTATTCTCTCTGGTAACCACTATATTCTTATTTTACAGAATTCAAATTTTTATTTCTTCTGTTGTGTGCATATAATTGTTTTGAGGGTGCAGATGAATGAAACCATTTGAAATCTTTCTTCCACTTTTTGGCTGATTTCACTTGACATAATCACCTCGAGATCTATTGATTTTTGTACTAAATGTTATCTTTCTTCACAGCTGTGTAATATTCCATGGAAGATGTTCCATAGTTTATCTTACTCATCTGTTGAAGGACACTTGGGCTGATTCCATGATTTAGCAGTTGTAAGCAGTGCTCCTATGTATATACGTGTAGGCACATCCTTTGATGTTAAGTTTTTCGCACTATTTGGATAGAGACTCAAATAGCAGTATTGCTTCATCAAATTTCCATTTTTATTTTCTTGAGACATCTCCATACTGTTTTCCACAAGGGCTGTACAGCTTTCATCCTACCAACACTGGATGAGAGTTCCTTTATGAACTGCAACCTTACCAACATTTCTTAATTCAGTTATTTTATGTATGGATCATTCTCAATAGTGCTGAGGTGGTATTTCAATAGTTTAAAAATGCATTTCTTTTTTAATAGGTGATGTTGAATATTTTTTCATGTCCGTAGGCTATCTGAATGCCTTCTTTAGAGAAATGCCTATTGGGGTCCTTTGTCAATATTGTATGTATTTAGTTTTCATAAACTTTTTATATCATTGTTAATTTTGGTACATTTTAATCCATGCCAGTTCCATCCATGTTGTGGTACAGTGGGAATCTGGCCTGAACAGTATTTGGTGGATAATCAGAAATAAGGACATTTAATGTTTTTTTCCTTTTAACTGTGAAACACATTCTTGACTTCCCTTCTTGGGTGTAATCCCCATAAAATTACTACCACTTAGCTACCTGTGAACTATCACCATAGTCTCTTGTAGCTCTTTCCTCTCCTGTTTTGAACCCTCCTCCTCCATTGCTGAATGTCTCTGATTTATAGTTTGCCTGCTGGTTTTGTCTTTTTTTCCCCTCTGACCCCTTGTATGGTTTTGGGACCATCTGATATTTTTCTTTTTCCTCCAGCTTTGTCCATATTTTAATTGGGTTATTGTTTCTTTGTTGTTGGGTTGTGTAAATGATTTGTAAATTTTGGAGATTAATTCCTTTTCAGATGTATGGTATGCAAATATTTTTTTCCCATTCTGTCATTGCCTTTCTGACTCTGTGATGGTTTCTTTGAGGTGCAAAAGCTTTTGAGTTTGATATAGTCCCATTTGTTATTTTTGCTTTTGTTTCCCTTGATGCTGGGGTTGTGTTCTCAAATACACCTTTGTAGTAGATGTCCTATAGTGTTTTCCTATATTTTCTTTCAAGTAACTTATGGTTTGGGTTCTTATGTCCAAATATTTAATCTGTTTTTTTTTTTTTTAAGATTTATTTATTTGTGCATACAGAACTGGGGTACAGACCAGAGGCTCAGGGGCGGTGAGAGGACTCACCAGAGACAGAGTGGGGAGCGGAACAGGCAGATCGACGAGGAAGTACACTGCTGAGGGGAGCAGCGGGCGGGTCAGGAGAGGTCTGCCACGCCATGTGGTCACCTCCGGGGCAGGCGGGAATCGAACTCATGCGGAAGTGGCTTTAGATTCTCAGTCTGTGCTTTAACCTGCTGCGCCACCAGGGAGGGCCTAATCTGTTTTTTTTAATCAAATACTGCAGTACTGATTTAATCAGTATAAAATTGAAAGAGCTTTAGATCTGTAATAAAAATCCAAACCAAATATTTAATCTGTTTTTAGTAGATTTTTCATGTATGGAGTTAAATAGGGGCTTGCTTTATTATTATTTTTTTGCATGTGTCTATCTGTACTTTCTAGCAATATTTATTAAAAAGATTATCTTTGTCCTTGTGGTCTTAAATTCCTTTGTTGAAAATTAGCTGTCCATATTTATGTGGGTTTATTATTCGGCTTTCAGTTTGTTCCATTAGTCTGAGTTTTGTTATTATACCATTTGCTCTTACTACTGTTGCTGTGTAATATTATTTGAAATTAGAAGTGTGATGCTTCCACTTTTCTTCTTTTCTCTCATGGTTGTTTTAGCTATTGGGCCTTTTGTGGTTCCCTATAAATTTGCTAATTGTTTTAATTCCCTCCCCCCAAAAAGTCATTGATATTTTGATTGGTATTGTGTTTAATCTGTAAATTGCTTTGGGAAAAATGACCAATTTAATAATGTGATTTCTTCCTACCTATAAGCATGGGATATCTTTCCATTTCTTTTGGTCTTCTTTATTTCCTTAATAGAGATAAAGTTTTTATTATACATGCCCTTCAATTTTGGGACTTTTTGATATGGACTTTCTTATAGATAGGAGATATTGTGGTTTTGATGTGCATTTTCCCTGGTGATAAGTGTGAGCAGTTTTTCATGTACCTGTCGACCTTTTTTTTTTTCTTTTTAAAATAATGTAATAGTTTATTTTTACATCATTTTGTGAGTTTTCCCATCTCAGTTATAATCCCTGTGGGCTTTGCATCACCAAATCACCCGTGTGCCATCACCATAGTCCAGTGCATTTCCTTCCCTTCACTGTTTTTGATTCCATTCCCCACTCCACTTATTGACCTTCTTTATGCCTTACAGAAGTGTCTGTTTATCTCTAATGCACATTTTTTTTTAAATTTTAAAGATTTATTTATTTATGCATATAGAACTGGGGCACAGGTCAGAGGTGCAGGGGTGGTGAGAGGGTTCACCAGAGACAGGATGGGGAGCAGAACAGGCAGAGCCAACAAAGTACACTGCTGAGGGGAGCAGTGGGCGGGTCAGGAGAGGGCTGCCAAGCTATGTGGATCACCTCCAGGGGATCGAACTCATGTAGAAGTGGCTTTAGCTTCTTAGTGCTGTGCTTTAACCTACTGCACCACCAGGGAGGGCCCTCTTCTGCATGTTTTTTAATTGGCTTATTTTTTTACTTTGTTGAGATATATGAGTTCTTTGTAGATTGTAGGTAGTAGTCTCTAGTCATATGTGTGATATACAAATATTTTCTCCCATTCAGTAGGGTGTCTTTGCTTTAATGATTGTTTCATTTATTGTATAGAAGATTTTAAGTTTGATATAGTCCCATTTGTTGACTTTTGCATATGTTTCCTTTGCCATTGGAGTTCACTTCCCAGAGACATCACTGAAACCAAAGTTACAGAATGGTTTGCCTATGTTTCCTTATATGTCTTATATGGTTTCTAGTCGTACACCCAAGTCTTCTGTCTATTTTGAATTTAATTTTGTATACAATATGAGAGCATGATGTGTTTCATTTTTCTGCATATGACTGTCCAGTTTTTCCAGCACTGTTTGTTGACGAGAATTTTGTCTTGCCGTTCTTGACTCCTTTGCTATAAATTAACTGTCCATATAAGTGTGGGTTTATTCTGGAGGTCTCAGTTCTATGTGATGGATCCCATTGTCTGTGTGTTTTTTAGCCTCATACACAGTGTTTTGATTACTGTTGCTTTGTAGTATAACTTGAAGTCAAGATGCATAATACCTCTCACTTGGAGAGGCAGTAAGGATAATGGCCAACAGCATGAACTCTAGGGACAAATTCCTGGGATTTTGAGTCTCAGCACTGTCACCTTTTAGCTATGTGACATTGTTAGGTATTTTTCTCATCTCTTAAATGGGGGTTGATGATAATTATCTATCTTAAAGCACTTTTGCAGTAGATTTCATGAATAAAATATGTAAAGTGCTTAAAAAAACTGGGAATGTATTATATTTGTGTTGAGTTTGTTGTTATTTTGATGATATGTTATAATAAAAGATGGAAGATTCCATTGGATAGGCTGGTTTCTTTTGTAAAACATTAATCATCTCATTTTTTTTCCTCTCTAGGTGTGAAATGTTTCTCTTACTCTACCAGTTTGATCAGCCTTGCATTTCTGCCATACATCTTTGCACAAAATAATATTATATTTGGAAGTCTGCCTTTGCAAGTCTTATTTTATGGCATCATTGGAAGCTTTACAGTGATTACGCCAGCACTGCTTCACTTTGTTACAAAAGGCTATGTTATTCGGCTATATCATGAGGCCACAACAGACACGTATAAAGCCATTACTTATAATGTTGTGCTTTCAGAAACAAGTACAGTGTTTCACCAGAATGATGTTAAGATACCAGACAGCACACATATATTTACCACATTTTATGCTAAAACAAAATCATTATTAGTTAACCCAGTGCTTTTTGCTAATCCTGAAGACTATAACCACCTAATGGGTTATGACAAACCATTTACCTTTGATTTGGAAGAATCCAGTGAAAACAAACAGCTTAAAGATGAGAAATGAGTCTGTTTTTATGTTTGTGTTTAGATGTGATTTAAGTTCCAATGTATAATAATGTTGCCTTTACCTTTGTTTTCTGGTAGTGACTGATTGTTTAAAAGGATTTGGAATTGTATAAAACAGAACTTTCAATTCTCAGAGAATTATATACCTTTATAATAAAATAAGTTATGTTTGGAAGACAAGGTGAATAGTCTGCCATTTGTTTTTAAAAAAATGTAAATGTACATGAACATACTGATAGCCATAGATAATTTTATATAATAAAATGCCTCATTTGGTCATCAATGTTAGAAATAAATAGGAATGTTATTTTTCTAAGTAGGTAGATATTAACCCATATTACAAACTATTTTTAAGAACTCACAAGTTATGGGAAGCGTTCTATCCCCTCTGGCATAGTTACTCATAATAAGGATCTCCATGCATAGTCCAATGTATTAATCTATAGGGTAAAATGATGACTTAAATACTAGTGACTTCAGCAAACCCTTTGTAGGGACAGATGGTACTAGCCTACCTTGGTGCACAAGATCAGATAGGGAAAATCATATTACTAAATGGATGAACAGTAGCTTTGATAAAATAGCAATATGTGCTAATTTTGCTAAGTATAGGCATTTTGAAACTTTTACCTCTAATTATAAAATCAGAGTTGCTTCTTGTGAAGACCTCAAATTATGCTATTTAGATCAGTAGATACTTAATAAGTGCCTAAAATGTACAAGTCCTGCCATAATTTCTAGAGTTATAACTAGAAACAAAGCACCTGGTTTGTAGGAAACTGCCCTACTGACTTTCACAATGATTAAACTAGGGCCTGCTGGTGTATGAGGAAGGTTAATGGGGAAGAGGAGGGACATCACTAGTTCTTAGGGAAAGATCATATCTGACGCTGCTAGAAACTTTTAGGAGATAGCTTAGCTTAGAAAAATTCACTATTCTAGACCTGCCAGCTTGTAATCCTCGTACAGCACTGCTCTAGGTCTCAAGGATAACCAAATTAATGTCATCTTTGTCCACAGGCTGCCGTCTCTGCCTGCTTGCTCTGTCCTGTCAGCTAGGTAGATAGTTGTTGCTCTCCTAACAAATGTTTCCTATAAAAAGTTACTCCATGGGCTCTGTGGTGGCACAGTGGGTTAAAGTGCAGCCCTGTGAAGCTCTCCGAAGCCACTGCAGCATGAGTTTGATCTCCGGCTAGGGAGCTGACCCACATGGCATGGTAGACCTCTCCTGACCTGCCTGCTGCGCCCCTCAGCAGTATATTTCAGTCAACTTGCCTGTTCTCTCCACTCTGTCTTAGATGAATTCTCTAATCTCCCACACCTCTGGCCTGTACCCCAGTTCTGTATTCATAAATAAATCTTAAAAAGAAAAAAATTATTTATTTATGCATACAAGAACTGGGGTACAGGCCAGAGGTGCAGGGTTGGTGAGAGCATTCACCAGAAACAGAGTGGGGAGCAGAACAGGCAGATGGATGAAATAACTGTGGAGGAGAGCAGCAGGCGAGACAGGAGAGGTCTGTGATGCCATGTGGGTCACCTACCGGGCAGGGATTGAACTCAACACTGAAGTGTCTGCTGCTATTATGCAGTGCTGCACCCTAATCCATTATGCCACCAGGGAGGCCCCTAAATAATTTTTTTTTGAAAGTTAGTTACTCTGACCAAATGAGTATGGTATTAGAAGCAAAAATATCACTCTTAATTCCACTCCTGGAAAAAAATAGCATTAACATTTGAAAAATTTTCCCAAGGACTGCTTTCCTTATGTGCTGAGTACTACTTAGTCTATTGTTGGAGACTGTGCCAGATGTCAAAGGCCAGCACTGACAGATGGTCGGTCAGGGGTATTTTTCCCGAAGGAGGAGGCAGCGTCGGCGAAATGAGCAATGAGGCAGACACTGACACTCTAGCTGGTGCAAATGTCTCCTACTGAACATCTCAGAGGGTCTTTATTTATATGTTAAAGCAGGCAGTGAGATTACATTAACAAAAGCATTGAAACAAAGTAAAAATAATTTTTAGGTATTTTTCATAATCACTTAGAGACCCCCATGACCTCATCCTAGGAAGAAACTTGCTTGGTCATTTTAAGAAAAAAACAAACAATCGAGGCTTCTAAATGTACCTCATTTCCCAGCATAATCAATCACCTGGGACATTTGGTAATGTTTAACTACCTTACTAACTCCCTAACACAGATTCTTTTCCCTGTATCCTATTGTTCTAAAAATCATGTTTCTTAAGAATATTACTAATATATTGTTTTCTTAGAAGTACTACTATTGCAACTTAATCATTATTATCTAACTCCTATAATCATTGTCTATCTTAGTCTGGTCTAGGCTAAGGGTATCTAACCTCCATGTCACCTGCGAAGTGCTGACCTTTAGTGCACACCAGAAAATCTACTTATGCTGCAAGCACACCTCCCAGGTGAGATTCCAGTCACCCGCCACAGTTAGCTTAGCACAATTTTGTTTCTCATTGTCTTTAGAGCCACAACCTGTTTTTCCTAGTCTCTTGCAATGTTAATTTCTGTTATATATTATGCCAATTAGTACTTTAACCAAGTTAATTTAGACAGGCCAATCATATAACCAATTTTAGACTATTATTAACCAAGAACAAATGAGGAAGTTTCAGCAGGCATTGCTGTGGAGACTCTCAGGGTTTCATCTTCTTTGGAGGTTTAGAAAAACCCCTCATCTTCTTTGGGAGTCTCCCCAATGCCCAGACCACGTCAAGAGAGCATTGGTTGTGTGGCCACGTCAGTCTATTTCTTTCTTTTTTTTTTTTTTTGAGGTAATACTGGTTTACAACACTATGGTGAAGTGGTAAAGGTTCATGAGTCTGTTACCACCCACCACCAAGAAAACCATAGTTCAAATTTTTGCATTAAAATGTTGTATCTGATTTTAGTTGGAGTGAAAAACCTATTTTTGTTATGATCAAAATAAATTAAGAAGATGACTTGGTACTTTAGAGAAAAGAAAAAGCTTAAATGACTAAATATGAAAGATGGTATAGTCTAGAGTAAGAACAAGATGTGGAAAAGGATAAAATTGCTTAGGAGGACGTGATGATTTATCACTGAAATAAGTCAGTAAAAACAACGAAGGCCAAGTTAAGATGTGGACATTGATATGCAATTCTTCATGCCCTTCACTACCCTCACCTCAAGCAGGCCAAACTTAGAAAAACTGCGTAGATGGTAATTTTCTCAGTATATATGGGGAAGCCATTGAGTTAGCTTTATTTGAGTCTTAGAACATAGGGTGATCCAGATGACATCTGGATTATATCAGATATTCTTTGACAATAAGTGCATCAGAATCTGTTTCCTTAATGTAGATTTTATTATACTGACAAAACTTCAGCTTTCAGAGTGAATAAGATGGTAGTTAGGTATGAATGAAAGTCTTAACTTTTTTTTAAATAATATTTATTTATTTATGCATACAAGACCTGGGATACAGGCCAGAGACGCGGTGGGTGAGAGGATTCACGAAGGACCAAGAGGAGAGCAGAACAGACAGACGTACTGAATTACATTGCTCAGGGGAACAGAGAGGTCCGGAGAGGTCTGCTACACCATACACCATATGGGTCACCTCCCTGGCAGGGGATTGAACTCATGCTGCAGTGGCTTCGGATAGCTTCATTGTGCTGTGTTTTAAGTCATTGCATCACCAGCAAGGGCCCAACTTGTTTTTTTTTTTTTAAATATTTATTTATTTATTTATTTATGCTTACGGAACTGGGTTACAGGCCAGAGGTCTGGTGGGTGAGAGGATTCACCAGAGACAGTGGGGAGCAGAACAGGGAATACACTGCTGAGGAAGAAGTGGGAGGATTAGGAGAGGTCTGCTGTGCCATGTGGGTCAGCTCTCTGGCCAGGGATCGAACTCATGCTGCAGTGGCTTTGGAGAGCTTCAAAATTTGGTACTTCAACCTGTTGCGCCACCAGTGAGAGCCCCCCCCACCTTCTTTTTTCAAATGTCTTAACTTGTACACATTTGTTAAAATTGTATTCTATTTTCAGAATACTACTTTTATTGTTGCTGCTTATTGAGAATTTCAAACATTCAAAATTAGAAAAGTGCATTGAGCCAACATGAGATTCAACAGTTACCAGTTTGTGGCCAACACTTTGATCTAGACCTCAGGCACTTGTTCTTTTACTTGGAAGCAAATCTCAAACATAGCATGTCAGAAATACTTCATTTTGTAATTCTACAAGCGAGGACTTAAAAAATATATAACAGTAGTGCCATTTACAATACCTAAATTGTATTATCAACTAATGAGGCTGTTCTAATTTCCAATTGTTTTGTAAATACCCCATTTTTTTTTTTTTTTGCATGAAGATCCAAGTAGACATTTTATCCACACCCATTGTTGAAATGCCTTTGCGATTCTTCTGGTCTATATGCCCCTCCATTTTCTTTTACTTCTTCCTCCAACCTGCAAATTGTTGCAGAAACTGTCCTTTGCATCTCTCCTGGTCTGGATTTTCTGATTGTATCCCACAGGTATAGTTTAACATGTTTCTCTGTCTTCTATATTTTCTATGAATTAATAGATTTAGGGTTTAAGGATTTTGGACAAAGCAAATCATAGATGAGGTTGTTTGTATTTGTTACTTACTGTTGTGTAACAAATTACCCTGAAACTTAGAAACTGTAAAGCAACAAATTTCATAGTGTCTGCTGATCAGTAATTCAGGAATGACTTGGGTGAATGGATCCTGTATAGTTTTAATTTAATGAGATTGCAGTCAGTATACTAGCTAGTGATGGTGCCTTCTCAAGGGTGGACTGTGGCAGAGGAAATACCCCACGAGGCTCACTCACATCATTAATAAGTTGGTACTGATGTTTTTTTGCAGGAGGCCTCAGTTTCTCACCACACAGATCTCTCCTTAGGGAGTGCTTACTTTCTCCAGAGCAATTAATCTAGGAGAGCAAGGTGGAAGCCACATGTCTTTTATGATCTACCTGGAAGTTATACATTGTCATTGTGCAATATATTGTTAGTCGAAGTTAGCTTTATTCATAGTATTCATAGTTGAAAGAATCTACACAAGCATTTGTATAGCAGGAAGTAAAGATCATGGTGGAGAATGGCTACCAGTGTTCAGCCCATCAAGAAATATGCAATGTCTCTCTGTGTTCTCAGCATCCATTGATGGTCAGTGCCCAAGTCCTGTATATGAAGGCTGTAAATGGAGGCTGAACGACAACTTCTCAAGATGTTCATGTCCCAATCATTTGATGCTGTGAATATTAGGTAGCAAAAGAGATTTTGTTGATGGCTTAAAAAAAAATGTTTGGGCTCTCCTTGGTGGCACAACAGGTTAAAGCACAGCACTCTGAAGCTATCCGAAGCCACTGCAACACTAGTTTGATCCCCAGCCAGGAAGGTGAACCATATGGCGTGGCAGACCTCTCCTGATTTGCCCACTGCTCCCCTCAGCAGTGTATGTCAGTACATCTGCCTGTTCTGCTCCCTACTCCATCTCTGGTGAATCCACTCAACCCCCTTCATCTCTGGCCAGTTCTTGTATGCATAAATAAATAAATCTTTAAAAATATATACATGTTTATTGTGGTAATGTTGCTTTACAACACTATGTGTTTTAGGGGTATAGGTTCATACCCCTACAAATATATGATATCATACCATGCTTGCCACCAAAGCCCCAGCAATCCTCCACAGTAAGCCATTGAGCCCTTTCTCCTTATAAATGGATTTTTAATTGAGGAGGTTATACTGGATTATCCAAATGCACTGGATTATCCAGTGCAACCCAAAGAGTTCTTTATAAAGTAAAGCCAGGAGATTAGAGGAAAAGGCAATGTGACGATAGAGGTAGAAATGGGAGCATGGGACTTTGAGGATGGAGGAATGCAAGGATTGCAGCTCCAGGAGCTAGAAAGGCAAGGAAAGTAATTCTTCCCTCAGTTCCAGAGAGCTGATTAGCTCTCCTGACACTTTGACTTTACTCCAGTGAAACTGATTTTGGACTTTTAAGCTTGGGGACTGTAAAAAAATATATTTGACTATTTTAGGCCACTAAGTTTATTACAGCTGTGTAATAGGGAACCTATTGCACTCATCTTCGGTTGGAGTGACTGTCCTAAAGTAGGTTATCCAATATAATTAGATATTACAAGCTCATCTATACATTTCTGCCTAGATATGGATTCAGTAGTTTCCAGCGTCTTGGTTCCTTTTAGTGGGAAATGGGCATTTGTGGATTCCATCACCCCCTCAATGTTTTAAAAAATGTTGCTGTGCAACAGATCTCTAGAACTTTTTCATCTTGCAAACCTGAAACTCAATACCTACTGAATAACTTCTCATTCTATCCCCCCTAAGGAATTTTGATTTTTTTAAAAAAGGGAAAATAGCACAGATCTGAAGTTAAACTTATAACAACATAAAATTATTTTCCTCTAGAGCCCTAACTTCATGCTATTTTTGGTTACTAAACCCAAAACATTTCCTACAAAGGATTCAAGTAGCAAGGCATCTAGAACTGAGTGGGGGTTTTGAGGTGAAATATGCTGCCCATGACATAATGACCATGCCACTTTTAGGGCTCAAAATATTCTCTGGGCCTATAGTTTGCTATGTGAATGAAATTCTCAAATCTGGTGGGGTCTCAGCCACAAAGCAGAATAAAGTTGGTGACCAGAGGTTTGGTCTCATCCATCCTGGCTCTACCCCATGATTGATCCTGTTGCTTTAACACAGTTTGTGTAAGACTGTTCAGAACTATAGATCCTGTTGCTTTAACACAGTTTGTGTAAGACTGGCCCATGAGAAATTGTCTAAAGAGCTTGTGAGGAGAGAACAGCATGAACTCTAAAGGAGAACTACAGACTGGTTTTACCACTAAGTAGGAAGTACCTTTTTTTTTTTTTTTTTTTAATTTTAAAGCCCTAGTCACTCATTTGCATCAACTGTTACCAAAGAGGGCATTCTAAATCACTTTTCTTTCTTCCTTTTCAGGAAGTGCTGAAGTAGAACACACACACACAAAAGAGGAACAGTTGGCTAGGAACTCAGGCATCATGTGACTGATGATTAAGTTAAACATTTTCCTCCTACTGAAAGCGAAGACTGATCCTCTTTGCATTTTAAACACTTTGGAGATATTAAATCATGTTCCCACTTATGCTTTTTTCCACCCTTTTTTCTTCCATATTTACTGAACCTGGGGAGAAACACTGGATCTGCAATTCTTCTGATGCAAGTATTTGGTATTCCTACTGTGGTAAGTAAAACAGCAAGAACAGGTAATGGTGGAGTCAACCAAGAGGGTTGACAGAGCCTCATGCTGCTGTTGCTGGGACACAGGAAATGATAGTGTGGTTTAGCTGCTGCTGCTTCTGGCAGGAAAAGTGATAGGTGGTTACTGCTCAGTGTGAATTTCTTGATTTTTCATGGACTCCATGAGTTAAAGCTTGTTGTACTTGCTCTCCAAGTACATTTGTTGCTTCCTGTTTCAGATTCTTCCCAATTTCAGTAGGAATTGGGCTTCTGAATTTCACTTGTATCTCAAGATGGACTTGTTCTTGAGAGCCTAGAAGAATCATTGTTGCCTCCTAGAATTGGTTATTGTTCTAGGCTATGAATAAAGTGTTAGATGTACAACAAGTGCTCTAGAAAACATTTCAGTATCACCATAAAGTGAATTTTGAGAACCCTTGGAATCATTTTCTTGCTAGTGTGTGAGTGTAGTTTGGTCACTTCCTGTGTGAGCTTTAGTAAACTACTTAGCCTCTCTGTGCCTTCACTTTCTTTGTCTCATTTCTTGTTTTCTATTATTTTTTGCTTGTTTTTTATATAGATTTTATTTTATTTTTTTATTTTTCCTTAGCTTTTTTTTTTTTTTTTAAGACTTATTTATTTGTGCATACAGAACTGGGTAGAGAGGCAGGGGCAGTGAGAGGCTTCACCAGAGACAGAGTGGGGAGCATAACAGGCTGATCAATGAAGTGCACTGCTGAGGGGAGCAGCAGGCGGGTCAGGAGAGATCTGCTGTGCCATGTGGATCACCTCTGGGGCTGGGACTGAACTCATGCTGAAGTAGCTTTAGCTTCTTAGAAATCAAGGTACAGCTGTGCTTTAACCTGCTGTGCCACCAGGGAGGACCCTTCCTTAGCTTTTTAATTTGCAAAATGAAAGTGATTTTAGGCCTAGTTTATAAGGATTGTTATTGGGTAAACTTTATAGTACATAGCCACATAGACATGATAATTTTCAGTACTTTTTAACAAACATCAGCCATATCTTACTGCAATCATTTGGTTGTATCACTGTTTTTGTTGGTTCCCCCCTCTTTACCTGCTGGCCTCAAGGTCAGCCACTGTTTCGGTTTGGTACCTTCACATAGCAGCAACATCAGGAAGTTTTAAAGGGTTACCTTTGTTCCTTGAATTCTGAGAAGCTCTGCAATAAAGAAGCCTATTTAATCCACAAATACAAAATTTTATTTTTTGAGAGGGTGTTGACTGTCCTGTGAAACACACTACAGCAAATACTAATAGAAAGCTACTTCTGGAGAATTAGAGTAATTGCCAGGCATGAGAAACAAAAACCTTTTTCTTATTTGTGAGTTGTGCTAAATTCTCTATGAATTCATGTGTAAAATTTCTCCAGTGCACAAGATTAGTTCCCTTTTGCAGGAAGACCAGTAGGCCTCTCCCCTCTCCTTGGTCCTTTTGTGTCGCTTGTTGAAGGTAACTTCTCTGCACTACACTTCTCTCGTCTCTACTTGTGTCAAACTGCACAACATTATTTAATTTTTATCTTTTAGCAACAATAACTTTATCTATTTATTTATTTTTAGAGATTTATTTATTTGTGCATACAGAACTGGGATACAGGCCAGAGGTTCAGGGGCAGTGAGAGGCTTCACCAGAGACAGAGTGGGGGGCAGAACAGGCAGATGGACGAAGTACACTGCTGAGGGGAGCAGCCGGAAGGTCAGGAGAGGTCTGCCTCGCCATGTGGATCACCTCCGAGGCAGGGATCAAACTACCACTGAGGCGGCTGCTGCTCACATGCAGTGCTGCATCCTAACCCTCTGTGCCACCAGGAGGGCCAACTTGATTTATCTCTTTCTAATGCTGAGAAGTCCTGGGGTTTCTTTCTATGTTCTCATAGATACACAACAGTGGGGAGTAATGAGCTCTGCGTGTTGCCACCCCACTGCCTAGTCCCCACCTTAGAGAATTCATCCCTGCAGAGATGAAAGTGTGTGGTGTGCAGCATTGATTTCTTTAGAAACTACTGTGAGGTTGTTAGTGACAACAACCACCCTGATTCAGTTCTTTCCGTAAGGCTTATTTTGTTTTGATTAGCTTCTGGACATGGGCAGTGTATTAGTTTGCTAGGGCTGTCATAACAAAACACCACAGATTGGTGACTTAAACAAAAGACATTTATTTCCCACAGTTCTGGAAGCCTGAAGTCCTCAGAATCGAGGGTCAATAAGTCTGGTGTCATCTTGCTGGGTTCTCACATGACCTTTGTTCCCTGGTGACTGCTCAAAACTCTTTTTAAAAGGACTTAGATCAGAGTGCACTAGGGTGCAAACTAGCAGCCTTATTTTAAATAATTTACTGCTTTAAGTGTGTTGTCTTCAAATATAGTCACAATCTGAGATGCTAGCTAGGGATGAAGATGTCAGCATGTGAATTTACAAGAGACATAATTCAATCAATAAAGTACAGCAATTTCAAGATTTGATTTTCTATACTCCAACTTGGAAAAGGCAGAAAATGTGAATATGCAAGTCAGTCCCTAGAGCCCTGGACGTAAGCCCTCCTGCAACTTAGGCTCAGTCCTAACCTTTTCAGATTCCAGAAACTCAAGGAATACCTGTGTTATTTAGTTAAATAAATATTTGCTTAGTGTCTAGCCTGTTCTAGGCACTTTAGTGAGCAACAGATATAAAATTTTTGCCCTCATGGGGTTTCCATCAGTAAAATATTCCTCATAGCAGGTGGTGATACCTATTATAAAAGAAAACAAAGCAGGGAGGATCCAGAAGGTACAGAGTGGAGAGTGGGGATTATATTTTCAAAAAGACCAGCAAAGGCCTCACTGAGAAAGTCACATTTAACAAGTACCAGAAATGGCTGAGAGAGAGTGAGCCATGCAGATATCTAAGGGGAAAGATGGAGGAAAGAGCAAACACAAAGACTATGAGGTGGGAGCACCCTTGATGTCTTGGGGGTATAGCAAAGAAACCCAGGAGACTGAATGGAAGTGAGCAAAGGGTGGGGGGGGGGGAAGTAGATCATCCAAAAAAAATGGGGAATGCTGAATTATTGCGTTTTAGGACTATGGGACCCTTGGACTTTGCACTCTTGCTGATGTTATTCTTCTGGGGAAAGAAGACTTTTAACAATCCTCAAATTTTTTTATTTTATGATTTTAATGCTAAAGTTATCTTTTGGAAATTTAAATTAGAAATTTAAGTTCTAATTTAAATTAAATTAGAATACTATAAGTACTGGAAATAATTGAGCGACATTATCTTTATTTCATTTAGATAATATGAAGTACCCTATTTCGATTAACATTCATCCCTGTTTAACACTGAAGGGACATCGTGGATATTTACATATTTTCTACATTGCAAGTAAGTGTAAAGTTTTGTTTTCACAGGTGAAGGAAAAGGGCTCAAAAATATTGGTGACAAATGATTGCATTCTAGATACACATGCATTAGTTTTCTAATGCTATGTAACAAAATGCTACAGTCTTATTGACAACACAGTTTACATTCCCTATCTCACAGTCTTTATGTGTTAGTAATCTGGGGTTTCCTACAGGTTGCAATCAGGTTGCTGGCCAGGATGGGGTTCTCTTCTGAAGGCTCATATAGGGAAAGATCTACTTCTGAATTTGTGTAGTTGTTGACAATTTTCAGTTCCTTTGTGACTATTGACCAGCTAACAGTTTTTTGCCACACAGGTCTTTCTTTTTTCTTTTATAAAAGATATATTTATTTATTTATATAGAACTAGACTAGAGGCCAGAGGTGCAGGGGCATGAGAGGATTCACCAGAGTGGGGAGCAAAACAGGCAGATCAACTGCTGAGGGAAGCAGTGGGAGAGACAGGAGATGTCTGCCTCCCCAAGAGGATCACCTCCGGAGCTGGGGATCGAACTCACACTACGGCAGCCTTGGTTTACTTGCAGTGCTGTGCCTTAACCTGCTGTGCCACCAGGGAGGGCCAGCCATAACACGGTCTTGCTTCATCAAAGCCAACAATAGGCACACCCGGCTAATAAACTAGAAGTCAGAAGTGTATGTAGACTAATCATGTGAGTTTTTAAATTAAGACTTATTTATTTATGCATACAGAACTGGGGTACAGGCCAGAGGTGCAAGGGTGGTGAGAGGATTCACTGGAAACAGAATGGGAAGCAGAAGAAGCAGATTGACGAAGTACACTGTTGAGGGTAGTGGCGGGCGAGACAGAGCCCTGCCACGCCATGTGGATCACCTCCGGGGCTGGGGATCAAACTCCCACAGAAGCCACTGCCGCCAGCTTTGCGCTGCACCTTAACGTGTTGTGCCGACAGGGAGGGTCCATCAAGGAAGTTTTATACAGTGCAATATCCTTAGAAAAGTTTTCGTGGCCCTACTTGAAGAAGGAGCATGGGGAGGAGAAGCTAGAAAGAGACTGGAAGAAGGAAGGAAAGAGGAGGACTAGGAGAAGACTGAAGGAGGCACATGGAGAGGAGAGGAACGTGAAGTAGAAGCTGTGCTTGCCTCTTGGCCTTGGATTTGCACCAGCGAATTGGGGCACATAGAGGGAGACACTTTAGGGAGACAGATATGTTGGCGAGAGACCTATGGGGAGGCTAACAATGACAGCTTGTGTCTTCACCTGTATCTTGATTTTGCTCTTTTCCATTGGATTTGCCTGATCCCTTCTAGCCATTTCCTATGGGTCTCCACCAGAAGCTGCCTTAGTCTGTAGCAAGTTTTGAGGCCTTAGTGGCCCTGCTTTGGGCAACTCTGTTTGGGAATTTACCCATGAGGGGATGGGTGACTTTGGGTATTTAATTGGAGCCTATTTTAACTAATTATTCTTTCTTTTCTCTATTGCACACTAATTATATTAATGTTCTCCATTGAAGCTCTTATGCACTAAGAGTATGTTTTGTTTTTATAGAACAGATGGTAGAACCCATTTAGAGCAGGCAGGTTTGGGGTCCCTGGGGTGCCATTCATTCTGCCTGGTAACAGTGCCTCTCCATGACCTTTTTTGTATTTGATTTATTGGATGTAAATCTCTAGGCTAACTCACAGTCATGGGTAAGGAATTCTTAGTGGTATGTGGGGGTATTCATAGAATTAACTTAAAATTTCTAACATTGTCATAGGTATATTCTTTTTATATCATTAACTCTTTAGTTGATAAGTAAAGTTGGGACTCGAGTCATGTATGAGATGAACTTTCTAGGAAAAAAAAACAAATGGAATGTAGAAGGCAATTTTAAAGTTTGGTTTGAATTGTGTCTCTTTTCCTCTCTGTGATTCTACTTGTTACTAGCTGAAAGAGACTGGAAGAGACTGAAAATTAAATGGGGCGATGGTGATCGCTTAGGACTGTACTTTAGTGTCTATGAAAACATGTAAAACTCTCATCTTTTTCTATCAGTCAGCTTTGTTGCTTGTAAGCCCTAAAGTTTCAGGAAACTTCAATGGTAAGAATCACTACTATCATTATTGTTTTCATGGTCACTTACATCCTAGCTTATATTTGGAGCTTATACTGTGCAAAGTGATTTCACATAAATAAGCTGAAAGAAACATTTTCCTCCTGACTTTAGTCTTATAGTTTACAAAATGTATTAGTTGAAAACCTACAAGTCAGTGGTGGGTTTTAGTGGGTTAAATGATAGATAATAAACTCATGCTTTTATTTATTTATTTAAATCAGTTATATTTCTTTTCCTTTTTTTCCCTCTTTATTTATTTATGCATACAGAACTGGGGAACAGGCCAGAGGTGCAGGGGCGGTAAGAAGATTCACCACAGACAGAGCAGGGAGCAGAAACAGGTAGATCCACGAAGTGCACTGCTGAGGGGAGCAGCCAGTGGGTGCTAGCCATGTGGATTCCCGATGGGGCCAGGATCGAACTCGCACTGAAGCTGCGGCTAGCTTGCAGTGCTGCGTCCTAACCCGTTGTGCCACCAGGAGGGCCAAACTCATGTTTTAATTTTCTTTAATCTAATTGTTCAGCATTTGACAGCTTGTGTCTACATTCATTTATTCTTTAGAGAATACTCAGTAAAGGCATATTATATTTCAAGAATTTGTGCTAGATCCTGTGAGCTTACTGATAAGGCATTCTCTTGACCTTCAACAATGTCTCAGTGCAACAGGAGGGAGAGATTTATAGATAATATGGTATGATCAGTAAAATGATAGAAGCAAGGCTTAATGGTAGCACAAAGAAAATAACAGAGAATTAATCTAATTTTTGTTTGGCCAAGGCTCTGCAACTTCTTCCTTTTTTCTCAGGTTTTGTTTTCTGATGTACGTGTTCTGCTTTACTTCCAGATACGGGGCAGAAATGATTATATACATAATGAATGAGTTCATTTTTAAGAGAACCCATTGTCTTTACACACAGGAAGCAGGATGTATCCTCCAGGCCCAAATAATACAATACAGTATCATTGGTATTCTCTGAAAAGTAGATGCCAAGCAAGAGTTAGACATGAGAGACTTACTGGCAGAAAATCTTGTAAATAATAAAGAGGTCAGAGTAATCGAGGATTCAGATTGAGATGAAGGTCTTTTATCTTTGAAATGACAAAAGGGGGAGAATTTGGTAGAATTAAGTCATCAGACCAAAGTGTATCCAGAAAACACTCAGCCAAGTGGGGAGCCTTAGAGCAAAGATGTCGAGAGAAACAGAGTGGCTCTGGTGTTTAGTGCTCCATCATCATAGCAACAGCCTGAGAGTTTGGTGTTTGGGTGAGTACTGATATGGATCTGAAGGTGCAGAAGCTGAACACTGTCTGCCAACTGCCCTCTCCTCAGTGGGTTCATTGGAAGGAACGTTTGAGTAGTATACCCTATGACTACCACAAACATCCTAATCATTCACTAAATATGACATTTAAATAGCATTATATTAATTCAGTAACAAAAGAGTTAGTCATTCATAATTTTAATAAAGCTTTGCATTTATGACCCAAGTCTTTTGAGAAGATGCAACAATGTTTGTATAAAGTGTGGGGCACATACATAGAAATCAACATAGCATTTATAGCCCTATTACTAATTAAATTCAGTTGAGGTGTAAGTACAACCTAAATCAAAAATATATTGGGAGTGGAAATTACTCATTTAGAGACTAATTTTGCTAGTAAATTACTTGCAAAATTAACATTAAAACTGATCGTAAAAGAAACAAACCTGAACTATAAATCTCAAAGTTATTCCTAGAATGTCTTAGGGCATATTCTGTAGTACAGGGCAGAAGAAAGGGTATCCTGGGACTCCCACTCCTACCTGTTCTAAATGGGTTCTGACATCTTCCACACTAAGACAAAACTTATCTAGTGCATAAGACTTTCAATAGAAAGGAACTTTAACACAATGTGCAATAGAGAAAAGAACAGAAATAGAATATAGTTTAAATTTTCCCCCCTGAAACTCCCAAAGCCACCCATCCCCTCATGGGTAAATGCCCAGACAAACAGAGTTGGCCCAAAGCAGGGCCACTGAGGTCCCACAACTTGCCACAGTCTAACGGAGCTTCTGGTGGGAACTCAAAGGAAAGGGAGAAAAGGGGCCAAGCAAATCTGAATGGAAAATAACAAAATCAAAATACAAGTCAAGATACAGGCCGCCATTGTTAGCCTCCCTATAGGTCTCTCACCCACATCTCTGTCTCCTTCAAGTGTCTTCTATGTGCCCCAGTTCTCTGGCACACAACCAAAGCTGAGAGGCAAACGGGCCTTCTTCTTCATATGTCTCTGCTCCATGTGCTTCCTCTATGCCCCTCTCCAAGTCTTCTTCAGCTTCCACCTTGCCACTCAGCTCCATACTTCATTAGGGTAGGGAAACTGGAATCTCCCCCTTTTGAGGGAGAGAATTCTCTGCAATAATTCCTCTCTGTAGCAATGGGACAATTGTTTGAAACATCCCTCATAATCCTCTTACATTATCCAGGAAGTAGAGAAATGGAAATATATGAGGAAGTTTGGTGATATTTTAGGCTCAGAGCAATGTCTTGAAAACAGAGTGATGGGGGGCAAAGGAAGTTAGCAAGAATTACTGGGATGGGAGGATGCTAGAGCCATTTTGGTGATGAGCATGAGGAAATCAATTTTGAATATGTTGAATGAGGTAACCAAGTAACAGTTGAGCAGATATTGAATATGTATAGATGATCATGAAAAAAGTAGAGATGAAAGATGATGATTGCGAATTATAGTTTTTGTGGTACTTTTTTTTTTTTTTAAGATTGATTTATTCATACAGAGCTGGGGTACAGGCCAGAGATGCGGAGGGTGAGAGGATTCACCAGAGACAGAGTGGGGAGCAGAACAGGCAGATCGACGAAGTACACGGCTGAGGGGAGCAGCGGGCGAGTCAGGAGAGGTCTGCCACGCCATGTGGATCTCCTCTGGGGCAGGCGGGGATCGATCTCCTAGGGAAGTGGCTTAATCTTCTTAGTGCAGTGCTTTAACCCGCTGCGCCACTAGGGAGGGCCCCATTATTGTGGTACTTTAGCAAGAGAGTGTGCAGAGTGAAAATTGAAGGGAACTAAGGACAGAACCCTAAGAAAAGAGGAGTCAGAAGCTAGACTGATAGGATGCTGTCAGGAGGAAGTTGAGGAGAACTAGAATGTGGTAACTCCAATGTCAAAGGAAGGAGAGTGTTTTAGGGAAGGAGCTAGCAGTTCTGTTAAGCATAGCCAAGTTCAAGTTAAAAACGGAAAGTTTTCTTTTGGTTATGGGTACAATGAGTCATAAGTGACATTTGTAGGAAAATATTTTCAGTGAAGAAGTGGTTATAATAATTGTATATCTTTTCCAGTTGGGCCAACTGATTAACTTATATGATTGAACAAAATGAATTATTTAGTGGAATTTAGGGGAATTTCCCATATTAATTGGCAATGAGGAGATAAGGAAATAGTTTACACATTTTATTTTTAGTTGAAAGGTCCTGTTTTACTCTCTAGGAAATCTTTCATCAGATTCCTAAACAAATGGTCTTGAGTTGATAATCATCTTTTGTACTTTAGTAGAACTGTGACTAGAAAATGGAAAATTTATATTTATTTGATAGTTTTTCCCCCAAATAAGCAGGTTAAATTTAGAGTCCCCTAAAAAAATAGACATAGCATACATAATTCCTATTGTCAAACATTCTATTTAATACAATCTTACTAGTTGCACTCTCAGAACTTCAGTCATCCCTTCTGAAAAACAGGGCTCGCCATACCCCTTACAGGTAGTTGCGATGACTAAATAAAAGAATGTAGGGACAGCAGAGGGAACATTTTAATCAAATAATAAATGTTATTTATTACTATTTAAAAACCTATTATTTGCAGAGCTAATGTGATTTTTTTCTTTTTTAGGAGGAGACCTAAAAAATTTATATTTCAATCTCAAGTTATCTTTTAACTCCATGAATTTTCTAGAGCGCACACAAGTTATTTGCAAAGGAGCTGATGGTGATTATTCATTTTGCAGAGCTCTAAAGGGAGGTAAACATTCAATTAATATTTTCTTTATAAGAATTTTATGAATATTAGATACACTGAAATATGAAGTCCCTTTTTCTTTTAAAGATATGCATATATATGTATATATGTACTGGGGTACAGGCCAGAGGTATGTGTGTGGGGGTGGTGGTGAGAGTATTCACCAGAGACAGAGTGGGGAGCAGAACAAGCAAAGTGACTGAAATACACTGCTGAAGAAAGTAGCGGGTAGAACCGGAGAGGTCTGCTGCACCATGTGGTCACCTCCTTGGCTGGGGATTGAACTCATGGTACAGTGGCTGTTGGTAGCTTCCTAGTGCTGCACTGTAACCCCTTGTGCCACTAGGGAGGGCCTGTGAAGTTCCTTTTTTGAAAATAATTGTTCATTTCCACCCAAAATTTACTTATTTATTTTAAACAGGTTTATTAGAAAAGGGACAGGAAAGTAAAGGACACCAGCATAGGTACAAGCAGGCAGGAGGCACTGCTGCTCCATCCAAAGGTTTTAATTAATAACTTAAACAAGTTTATTATTATTACTAAGATGAATTTTATTTAAGTGTGTTTGCAGGATATTAAAATATTTGCCTTCTTCAATAATGTATTTTTAACTTGCTTATGGATCTTTTTCTAATTACATTTGATATTTTATAGAAGTTCACTAGATTTTTTTTTTTAAATATTTACTTTTTTTTTTTTGATTTATTTATTTGTGCATACAGAACTGGGGTACAGGCCAGAGACGCGGAGGGTGAGAGGATTCACCAGAGACAGAGTGGGGAGCAGAACAGGCAGATTGACGAAGTACACTGCTGAGGGGAGCAGCAGGAGGGTCAGGAGAGGTCTGCCATGCCATGTGGTCACCTCTGGGGCAGGGGGCAGGCGGGGATCGAACTCATGCGGAAGCGGCTTTAGATTCTCAGTGCTGTGCTTTAACCCGCTGCGCCACCAGGGAGGGCCAGATTTTTATTTTTAATGCAGTTACATTGGATTCTTCAATGTCTCCCTTACTTTTTTCTACCTTGTAATTATTCACAGAATCATAAAACTTCAGAGTTTAAGATCTTAAAGATAATTTATTACAATACCATGTATTTTTCCTGAATATTTGTAAACCAGTATTTTAAATAGTTTCAAGATTGTAAATATCATGCTATAAAATTACCAAAAATTAGAAAGTATAAAAAAGAAAAAAGTTACAGAAACATATTTCTAAAGGCTTTTTGTAGTTTTTTCTTTTTTAAATCTATGCATATTGTTTATGTACCAGTAAGTATACTCTATTACAATTGTAATTATATATAAAAATTAGTTTATTTAAATGGGGTGACTAAATAATTCATGTGATTCAAAAATCAGAGTATAAATATTACCCAATGAAACGGCTTCCTTTGAAGATGTGCCTTGGTTTACTTAACCATTCTCTGGACATCTAGTTCCATTCTGATATTTTTAATAATAATGGTATTATAATGAATATATTTCTTCATATAAATTTTGTCATATTTTAGATTTGAATGTTTTCATGTTTGAAAGGAGTTACTTGTAATTAGCAGGAAGATTTCTCAGTCAAGTGGTCTGAATTTGTGGTTTTATTTGCGAATTGCTTTCCTTATGGGTTGTACCAATTGTGCCAGCAATGTATATATAGATAACTGTCTAATCCTTTTTGTGTTAATACTGGGTATTTTTATTTAAAAAAAGTGGACTTTACCAATTTACACCCCCCCTAGGGAATGAGATGTAGACTGGTGCAAAGAAAGTCTTGGCAGAGGCCACTGGAGAGTCACAGCCAGCATAAAAGATTCATTATGTCTCTATAATTTTGCTTGGAACTTCTAGTAATGAAAGTAAAATGGTGAATTCAATGCTACAAAAAATAATCTAATTGTGACCAATAATGCTTTTTAATTTTGTATTTCGTTGGCAGAGACTGTGAATACAACAATATCCTACTCCTTCAAGAGACTACTATTTTCTAAGGTATTGCTCCAGAGTCATTTTGTATATTTTTAACCTTTTGCCTTAACACATCTGTTAATATTTGAAATTAGCAACACAGTTTCTAAAATATTGACTCAAGATGAAGACGTTCACAATTTTTTAAACTTTTGTTTGCCTTTGGGTATTTCACAATTTCATATTTCTGTAGAATTTAGAAATATGGAAAAATTACAGAAAACAAAGCTCTTTTCCACTTCATCTCCCTCTCTTAACATCCTGGTGAAAGGTAATATTCATTATTAGCATATTAAGTGAATGAAAGCTATATATGACCACTGTGTGTAACTCAGCAACTGCCTCCGTAAAATGCATTTTACGATATTTGTTTTAGATACTTAAGAATGAAACTTTGTTTTATTTTTGGTTACTACTTTAAAATAAATCCTAATAATGGTATTCTTTATTTATTATTACATATGATGTCATTGGTTAGTTTCAAAAATTATTAAAAATCATCAAGTGGAATTAAATTGATTTTACATTGTAAATTCAAAGACATACAAAATTTCATCTCATTAGAAAACTGAGAAAGTGATAACCAATTCAATTTAAATGGCTTCCTCCTACTAAAATTCTTTAAAAATCTAATAAAAGAGAAGCATTCACCATTTTACATTACTTGTATATCTTGTTCTTCATTTTAGGGGCAATATAGACTTATTGTAGAAGCCATCACTGGAAGTACTGGAGAAATGCTCTTTTGTTTGAATTTTATTATTATCCATCACCCTAACTCCAACTAAAATAAATCTATCATATTTTTATTTTTCAAAGGTGTTATTCTTCACTTTAAACTTTTTTTTCTCTATAGTGCATTAAATTTTTTTGCTGCCATAAAACATTACCACTGACTGGGTGGCTTAAAAATCCAACATTTATTTTCTCACAGTTCTGAAGGTGGTGGTGGGACTGGTTTCCTCAGGTGTCTCCCTTTGGCTCATAAATGGCTTTCTTTGCTTTGTCTCCAATGCACGTCTCTGTCCTAATCTCCTCTTGCTGTGAGGGGACTAGTTTTGAATTAGGGGCTATCCAAGTGATTTTATTTTACCTGAATCACTTCTTTAAGACCCACATCTCCAAATCCAGACACATTCTGCTATTACATTCTGGCACTAGGGCTTCAGCATATGAATTCTGTGGTACATACAGTACAGCCCACAACACAAACACCCACACAATTCTCTTGAACAGCCGCCTTCTTTGCACTTTCTGGATCTACTCTGGGGCAAGTTACCTCCATTGTTCTCTGGAATACTCTGCTGTCTCCTACTGATTTTCTTGTACCTGTCCAGGTATCTCAGGTATTTTCCACAAAGAAAGTTATTGCAATACTTTCAAAATACAGGTATGTGACTTCTGGTTCCTTTTCGAATAAAGTTGGCACCTTCTGGAGAAACTGCCAGATCCTGTCCTCCTTTCCCTCTCTAGCTCCTTCTCCCATCACCTTCTCTTGCTCTCAGTCTTCCAGAATGTGTCATACTCCCTTCTACTCCAGAACCTTCACCCACATAGTTCCACTCCTTGACTCTTCCCTACCCAAGCTGGATGCTCTACCAGTTCTAGACTGCCTACTGCTGTCTTCTGGTTTTGAAATTCCAATTTAGCAAAAATTCTTTTGCTGGGTTCATCTTACTTGCAGCCAAACATGGTTCTAACAATACAGCCACTGCTTATTATAAGGGATAAGGAAAGAATCAAAGACCACTTGACAGTTCAAGCCTGTGGAATGCAGGAGAATTGTGGTGTCGCAGCCATGAGTAGGATTGCAAATGAGGAGCCCATTTCATTTTATTTTTTAAAGATTTATTTATTTATGCCTATAAGAACTGGGGTGCAGGCCAGAGGCATGGTGGGTGAGAGGATTCATCTGAGACAGAGCATGGAGCAGAACAGGGAGATTGATTAAAATACACTGCTGAGGGGAGCAGAGGGTAGGTCAAGAGAGGTTTGCTGTGCCATGTGGGTCACCTCCCCAGGGATAGAACTTGTGGCTGTGGACAGCTTCATAGTGCTGTGCTTTACCCTACTACACCACCAGAAAGGGCCCAAGGAGCCTATTTTAAAAGCATAGTGAGGGATTTAATGATGTTCATATAATGTTATATCTCATTACCTAATTTTAGTTTGATTGTGGATTCTGGGAGATTCTCTAATGTTATTGACAGTGCATTTGTAAGTTTTTCTTGCATTTATAAATAATGATAGAGAAATTTCCAGGGGGAAGACCAACCTACTGAATTGTAATATCTTGGTTAGATTGCCATGTTCAGGGGGCATAATCTTCACTTTTACAGATGAAAAAAGTGAAGATTTTTTTTTCAGTTTATTTTTTTTCAGTTTTGTTTTTGTTTTCAGTTTAATCAGACTTAATTAACATTGGTTGGAGTAACAGTTTGTCTCCTGGGGCAAAGACACTATTTAACAGTGACTTAGATCAGCTAGAACTTTATTTCTTTCTCATCTAGTACTGATGTGGTAATTTGTGAACCTAAAAACTTTCTATTTGGTCTTGGTCTGAATGACCAAGAATGGTTCTTCACTGTATCTGTGATCCTCTCCATTGACAACACTTAAAAAGCTATTTTATATTTAGAAGATATCACTTTTTAAATTTTCATTACTGATCTTTCATTACTCATTAAGAGTTAATGAATTTCTTCACTTTTTTTTTTTTGAGTTGGAATAGAAGAACTGAGTAGTAGAGACTTTCTGCCTGGGAAAAATCAGTCACGAGATGATGAATAAGATGTTTGTGTTTTTTTTTTTTTACAGCTTACTTTTTTTTATTATATTAATTTATTTTTACATATTTTTGCGCATTTTTCCATCTCAGTTGCAATCCCTTGGGTTTCCCATCACCATATCACCCTTATGCCATCAGCATAGTCCAGTGCATTTCCCTCCCTCCCACTGTTTTTGATCCCATCCCCTTCCCCACCCCCACAAAATATCTCTGGTTTATAGCTGTTCATCATCTTCACTGTATTTTATAGTACACTGACTGGCTTAGTTTATCTAGGATTTTAGTCATGCCTTATATCCTACCATTAAGGAAAAAGTTTATGGAGCTGAAATTTTTCCTGTACCAGGAACTATTTTATGATCTTGGGTCCCTCCTTCTTATCTTTCCCCCTGAATTTTTCAAAATTTTTCAAATAATTGGTTTCACGTTTGAATAAATTTCTCAGTTAAGCTTTTTTTTTTTAAGATTTATTTATTTATGCACACAGAACTGGGGTACAGGTCAGAGGTGCAGGGGTGGTGAGAGGATTCACCAGAGACAGAGTAGGAAGCAGAATAGGCTGATTGATGAAGTACACTGCTGAGGGGAGCAGTGGGTGGGCCAGGAGAGGTCTGCCGCACCATGTGGATTACCTCTGGGGCCAGGGATCAAGAAGTTGGCTAGAGATGTGGGGGGTGAGGATGAGAGAATTCAACAGAGACAAAGTGGGGAGCAGAACAGGTGGACTGACTGAAGTACATTGCTGAGGGTTTCAGTGGGCAAGACAGGAGAAGTATGCTGTGCCATGAGGGTCAGCTCCCTGGCCAGGGCTTGAACTTGTGCTACAGTGGCTGCCCACAACTTTATAGTCTTGAGATTTAACCCCTTGTGCCACCAGGGAGGCCCCTCTGTTCCCTCAGTTAAGCTTTATAAGAATTATTCCTGGACATTTTAATGTTGCCCATGGAAGAGTAAATTCTCCTGATAAAGTAGATTGTAGCTTGTAGCTATTACATTGCATTAACTTTCTGAAGTTATTTTAAATGTACAACCTTTGTTCTTCTTAGTTCTCTTCTCTAGTGAGTGAATATAAGTCTAATAAAGTGTATTTTTTTTTCCTCCAAAGATAATTGAAGGAAATTCTGAAATTTCTACATTTTGGTTAATGTATGACACCATAATGAACATATTATGGAAAGCCCTATGGTATGTGGGGACAGTCTTTCCGCTCACCAATGATTTTCTTTAGCAATTAAAAAGAAAACACAGTTGTAATAGTTTACTCATTGGCCCTGAGCAACTGAAGTCAAGAGATTTACAGAAATTGCTATTCTGCACAAAGAAAGTTAGGTTAGTTAATTTTCAAGTGAGCCAGAGGACCCAGATTAACAAAAAAGCCAGTACAGATCTAAGAGGCAGTTGTTTTATCCAGACTTGACACTTTGAGGCCAGAAATTTCATCCATTCTTCCCATCCTTCTATAGAACTGCATTGATGCAAGGTCTTTCCTGGTATTACTTTAAGTGAACTAGTTCTGCAGTCTCTAAGTTCCCTAAATCTACTCTGAACTGTCTATCATTTTGGTGTGTACTCTTCCGATACTGACAAAGTTAAAAAAATGTTTAACAATATTAACTATTTATGTTTTTAAGATTTACTTATTTATGCTTACAGAACTGGGGTACAGGTCAGAGGTGTGGTGGGTGAGGATTCACCAGAGACAGAGTGGCGAGCAGAACAGGTAGATTGATGAAGTACACTGCTGAGGGGAGCAGCCAGTGGGTCAGAAGAAATCTGCCATGCCATGTGGGTCAGCTCCCTGGCCAGGGATGGAACTTGGGCTGCAGTGGCTTTGGAGAGCTTCATAATAAGCTTTAACCTGTTGCACCACCAGAGAGTCTATTTATTTTAATGGAGGTAAAGTTTTATGATACTATATATGTTTAAAGAGTATAGACTCTTACCTCTTCAAATATCTGTTACTAGATCACACCAACCACGAAGGTACTAATCACCCTCTACCACAGTCCGTTGACTCGTTCCACTCTGTTCTCACTCTTGCCTCCTCTGGTAGCCTCAGTTCTGCAGTCAGATTCCAGAGCTTTGTTTTGTTTTGGTTTTGTCTGTTCTCTTACGCTGTGTCTTTATTTCCCATATGTGAATGAAATCATCTGGCATTTGTCTTTCTCCTTCTGACTTATTTCACTTATACAATCCCCTCTCTTTCCATTAGGCTCAAAAATAAAAAAATTACTACAGATTGCTTTCCAGAAAGATGAGCTACTTTTCATTGTTTTCTGTAATACATAAAAAAAATACCTGTCGGGGACCTGCCCCAATTTTGTTTCAGGTCCTGAAGAGGGTGGAGGAAGTGTCGGCACCGAGGTTCTGTAAAGAGAGAAAAATGAGAGTGTACTCCGAAGCTTGGAGCAACTGGTCTGTTTATTGCCCGGACAGCGAGGTTATTATATGGTGAAAGCTGGCATTACTGTTCAATACCTATGACAGTTACACTTTTTTTTATCATACAAAAAATACAAAGAGAACAATATAAAGCAGTACATGATTGATTATGCTTTTTGAGAAAGAAGGCGAAACTTATTAGAGTAAGTTTTTACTATATCAAAGTACTAGTTTATAATTAACTATGTCCCAGAACACCATGCTTATTTTCTATAGAAGGCAATCATTTGTTACCTAAGAAACATCAAGTTACTGTTACTAAAACTTAACAAAGGCTAACAATATTGTTTTCTCATGGGAAATTTCATTATAGTCTTGGCTCACTAAGCAATGGATTCTTGTGGCCTAGCAAATCAAGAAGTTACATGTTTTAATTCTTTTAGCAAGGTAGGCGTGGAGACAATGCACCTGTTCACCTAGAAGGGTACTTCCTTGAAGCCAGCTTCACCCATTCTCTGAAAGCAGGTTAGTGAGCAGATCAAGCGGCCTGGGGGGAAGTAGGCGCAACAAATATTTTATGCTTACAGAATTGGGGTACAGGTCAGAGGTGTGGTGGGT